ACTTTCTCCTCGGATCTCCAGAAAGTTGCTTTCAGGTTAGTTATCATTGGCAATATTTTCCAGAATTAAGAGCCACCCGAGGGATCCCACAAAGGTAAGTAGATACAAAATGGGGTGCTCACAGGTCTGGTCAGGGTTGAAGGGAGGGTGGACTAGGATAGAACTTTGGAAATTGGGGCTCTGCTACCACTTCTAAAGGCCATGCTTTTCCTTGAACTTTTTGATGGCTGAATGCCTAAGTGGCCACTGCTTTTCTCACACTCTGTTTGTTAACTTTTCTTCCTAGCTCACCTCTGACCTCTACATACATATCAGTGACAGGAACGTGCAGAAGTTGTGGTGTTGGGGGAATTGTGATGACGAATCAGGCCCTTGCCAACAGCTTCATCTGCAGCCCTTACTGCTGTTACCCTGGACAGACAATTATTAGATTCTAGGAACCCTTCTAAGAGTTTTGGGGTCTTTTTCTCCATTTAAATTCTTAAAATGACAGGACTGGGGAGACAGATGGCTCAGGAGAGAAACCGTGTGCTTTACAAGCATGAGACTGAGTTGGATCCCACACTTAAAAGCCAGGCATTGTAACACATTTGTAATATCCGTGCTAGGGAGGGAGAGAGCCTGTGGGTCACCTAGCCCTAATCAACAAGCCCCAGGCTCCTGATGGACCCTATCTCGAAAAGTAAGGTGAATGGGGCCAGAAAGGTGGCTTAGCGGTTAAGAGCACTGGCTGCTCTTGTAGAGGAGCCAGCCTTGATTCTAAGCATCTACATGGTGGCTCAGAACAACTTGTAACTCCAGTTCCAGAATGTCTGACACCCTCTCTGGCTTCCACAGGCAAGGGGCATGCAAGAGATGCACGGACATACATTCAGACAAAATGCCCACGCACATAAAATTAAATTCTAATTCAAAAAAATAAAAGCAAGAAGGGTGATGCCTGAGATTACCTTCTGGCCTCTACAAACACTTTCACACACACATGCAACATGCAAACATGCATGAACATGTACTCACTCTCTATATGTCTCTTTCTCTTTGTCTCTGTCTCTATGTGTGTGTGTGTGTGTCTGTCTGTCTGTCTTTCTTACAAAGACTAACTGTGAATAAATGTGAAACTCAAGCTAGGTAAATGTCTAAAGGTCACAGCCAAGAAGTGATGCTTTCTTCAAATTTTGTTATACAATAGTTTCCACATGTGGTTCTGGGGCAATGGCAGTGGCCACTGGGGACTTGGTAAAAATATACATTCTTGGGTCTCAGCATTGACTCATCAGAGGAGGATCTCAGCAGCCTGTGCCCTCCTGACGTGCCCTCCTGATGGCTTGGTTGCTGGTCAGAGTTCAAGAACCAGAGGAGCCTCATCAATTTTCAAGACGATATTTAAACATCTGGTCAACCTATTGCAGCCTCCTCAGCACAGACACTTCACTGCTCAGCTCACTTTTTGAATAGCTGTCCCAATGGGGGACAGCTGGATGAGCTCTGGACCCAAGGCTGAGCTGACAAAGGGGGAAAGCTGCAACATGGAGACAAAGATGAGAAGCCTTTTGTGCCATCCTAGTCATCCACAAGTTACCTATAGATGCTAACAAAGAGGCAGTGTTTTGTAGACAGTTTTGGGTTACGGCACAGTATCATACAGCATCTTAGTTGTCAAAATTATAAAGGTAGTAGTCTGAACAGCTGATTAGACAAACACAGCTGAGCTTGATACAAGACAGTGGAATCTTAGGTCATCGAAGTAGAGGAGATAACTCCAAGCCACATACTATAAGCAAGGTAGGTAGGACTCCTTTATGGAAACCTCAACTTAAGCTGGCCAACTTGAGCTGAAAGGAGCCAGCACTGACCAGAGGGAGGTAATGGGGTAATTCACTTCAACAAAAAACGTGACAAGCTTTTGGTGATTTTCCTAGAATGGAATAAAGTTTGGTAATTGCCCGTTAGTGGTGTGCATCATTTCAAAGGTGGCTTTCCCTTCTGCTCTAGCATTCTGACATTGAGGTCTGCAGGCTGGCAGGAGGACACTTAACCTGGGAAGTACTGAATCCTTGCTGTTGCTGGCATCATCACCCAACATAAATATCCTGACTTCATGGTTTGGTTTGGGCTTTATGCTAAGGCCTATGGGCTGACTGATGTGTGTGTGTGTGTGTGTGTGTGTGTGTGTGTGTGTGTGTGTGTGTACCTTCATTTTTGAGTGATAGGTAATCTGGATTTAGAATTCTAGTTTGAAAGTATTTTCCCTCATTGTGGGAAGGTATCATTCCATTGTTAGATTCTATCAGAGCTGTTGAAAAACCTGAAACAAATTCAGCTGCTGTACTGTTCCTTTATAGATGATCTGCTCATAGGATTTTGAATTTTATTGTTTTCACCGAAGTAGCTTCTGTGTTAGTACTATCTTGTTTTATATTGCTGTCAATAAAACAGTCTGACCAAAAGCAGCTTGAGGAGGTTTATGTGGCTTACACACCTCTATCATAGGCCATCAATGAGGGAAGTCAGGGCAAAACTCAAGGAAGAAATCTAGAGGCAGGAACTGAAGCAGAGAACATGGAGAAACTCTGTTTACTGGCTTATCCTCCATGGCTTGCTCAGCCTGCTTTCTTATACCACTCAGGACCACCGGGTCATGGTCCATCCACAGAGGATTGGGACTTCCCACATTAATAATTTAACAGGAAAATGTCCCACAGGTTTGCCCACAGGGTTATCTGCGGGAGGTGATTTCTCAGCTGAGGTTTCTATCTAGAGTTGTGTTAAGCTGACCAAAATTCAGCAGCATATGTACCCTCTAAGCCAAGTTACAGCTCTTCCATTTTATAGATACTCTCTTCAGCTGTCTTTAATAGACTATTTAGACATCTATTGCCTTTTTAAATTTTAACAACTATATATTTAAGTTTTTATTTTATTCTGATGTGTGTGCCTAAGTGTATGTAGATGCAGGCCCTAGCAATCATATTTTTCATTTCTAAATTACAATATATTTTTTAAATTTTTTATTAATTACCCTTTATTCACTGTGTCCCCCAATAAGCCCCTCCCTCCTCCCCTCCCGATCCCACCCTCCCTCCCCCTTCTTCACGCATGCCCCTCCCCAAGTCCACTGATAAGGGGAGGTCCTCCTCTCCTTCCTTCTGATCTTAGTTTATCAGATCACATCAGGAGTGGCTGCATTGTCATCTTCTGTGGCCTGGTAAGGCTGCTTCCCCCTCAGGGGTAGGTGATCAAAGAGCAGGCCAATCAGATTATGTCAGAGGCAGTCCCTCTTCCCATTACTATGTAACCCACTTGGACACTGAACTGCCATGGGCTACATCTGTGCAGGGGTTCTAGGTTATTTCCATGCCTGGTACTTGGTTGGAGTATGAGTCTCTGGGAAGACCCCTGTGTTCAAATTTTCTGGTTCTGTTGCTCTCCTTGTGGAGTTCCTGTCCTCTCCAGATCACCCATCAGAATGGCCAAGATGAAAAACTCGAGTGACAACATATGCTGGAGAGGCTGTGGAGAAAGGGGGACCCTCCTCCACTGCTGGTGGGAATGTCAAACTTGTACAACTACTCTGGAAAGCAATCTGGTGCTTCCTCAGATAACTACAATTTTTTTTTTTTTTTTTTTTTTTTTTTTTTTTTTTTTTTTTTTTTTTTGAGAAAGAATCTCACTGTGTAGCACTGGCTAAGTTGGAATTTGCTTATGTAGACCAGGCTGGCCTCATACTCACCTGCCTCTGCCTCCTGAGTACTGGGATTAAAGGCATGTGCCACTACACCTGGCAGTAATTTTGTTTTTTAAAGTATCATTTTATGTTTTTTTGAAGTCTTGGGGTGAGTTTTTACATTTCCATATTGATTTTTATATCTGTTTTCTAATTGGCACCTGAAACCCCTGGATATCTGCCTACTTCTGGGGATGTTTGCTCTTGGAAATTAGCTTCACGACGTTTTCTGGTTTTGACATGTCTTTACCCCGGAGAACTCTGTCTGGCCTAGCTTGAAATGTATTCTCTCAGGTAGTTTTACGCTTACTGAATCCCCTCAGTTAGCCTAGAAGTATAAATTCAAAGCCTAAACCCAGGCCAAAGGACTTCTTTCAATTTACGAAGAGTCCGGGCTACAGACACACTCTCTTGTCTCTGCATATTTTGACTTCACTGAAGCAACTGGCCCCTCAAGAGATAGGCTTTTTCTGTGGGTTTCCCCCTCTTGCCTTGCATCAGCACCAACACCTCCTCTCCAGATGCCCATTAACACCCAGGCTTCCAGCTCATCACAATTAACAGCCCTTCTTGTCCCCAGCCCCTCCCCCAACTGGTCAGCTTTCCTTATTATATTCTTGCATGCAAGACCTGTGGGTTTTTTTTTTGAGGGGGGGGGTGTTAAAGTGCTTAAATCTGAATGCAGAGAGCAAATGATGAATTCCCAATGGTCCTTCCTGTCCCATTTCTGTTGCCACAGTTCATTCTCCTCGCTCTGTCCTTTAAAAGTCACCACTGGGCTTGTCATTTAACCTCCATGAGCCTTGCTGACCGGTAGAAAGAGGGCTGTTCAATATAAACCACAGAACCTCTGTAAACTAAGGCAAACTCGAGTTCAGGTGCCGCCTGGCACAGAGCACAGTTCCTCAGGTGTGAGATCCACCATGTCAGCTCCGCTAGCCTGCTTGGGAGTGCAGGTTATGTGGTGGGCGGGGCCTGGCGCTGGTGTCCTGCAGAACATGCAGGGCGGACACTGAGTGTTTGTTTTCCTCCGGAACTGGATGGAATGTTCCGTGAGGGGCCAGGGTCTCTGTGGGAGGCCAGCCAGCCAAAAATGAGCTGCTCCAAGGCAGTGTGTCGTGGAGGTCATCGGGACGCGCACACCTGGCAACAGCAGGACTTCGTGCCTGCGTTGCCCAGAGTCCTGCTGAACTCTGCAAAGGCAAAGACGGTTCCTTTGAGTTGGGCGTATGACCTTCGACACTTATTATCTTCCTACAGCGGATGCACCGAGCTATAAAAGCAGTTCGCTTTACCACAGTCCCCCTGCAGCCTGTTCCTTCACCGTCACCAAACGCCCACACCAAACCAGAGGCCACCATCATGTCGAAGGACCAGAATGGAACGTGGGAGATGGAGAGCAATGAGAACTTTGACGGCTACATGAAGGCCCTAGGTAAGAGGTGAAGGGTTTGTGGAGGAAAGGGACATTAGGAGGACAACAGACCGGTCCTCTAGGTAGTGCTAGTGTGGGACTCACCAGGGCTGTGTGCAGAATCCTCAGTTCTAGCAGTGTGAAGTCAGCTAAGTCAAACGAACTCTCTGAGGCTGTTTTCCTACCTGAAAATAATAAATGTGATGGGGTTAGAACACTGAATGGGAAGTATAAACACATATGTACACATGTTAACACACAGTGCACACACACATACACACAGACAGAGAAACATACCCCGGCAGGTATGATCTGTCCTGAGTGGATACCACGATCACTCTCCTGCCTTACCATCACCACCTCAACACCTCAGAGATAATCAACTGAATCAGACAGACATCATCACCAATGACTCCTGCATGATTTTTTCTCCGCCTTGTCATAGAAAAAGACTGAAGGGCCAGCCAGCCAATTTCTCCACTTAGAGACATCCAGGCTCTCAGATGCTGAGAGGGGCTTCTGTCATGGGGCTCATACCACACACTGTTTATCCCAGTTCTGCGCTGGGCTTCAGACTGAGGGCTACTAATTGGTCTGTGTCCCAAGCTAGTGACAGGGCAGGTCTGCGGGTATCTCCTGGTGTTGGCAGAAAGAAACATGTGGTCCTGGCCACCTCTGGGCTGTACTTAGAAAACCATGGAGTGAGCCTCCACAGCCTCCAGATGATGGTAGTAGCTGGGCACCAGGCAAGGAGCTTGGATGCTAAGCTCCTTCCCTACAGGAGCATCCTGGTCCCCTTTTCTACTGTGAAATTCCCCATATAAGAAGTTGCATCCCTGTATGTGAGGGAGGCACACAAGCATGAGAGAAAGGGCTCTGTGTGTCCTTAGAGGCTCCAAAATTTGCATATGAGGAGTATCTCTAAAGAAAGACAGGCAAAAATTTTCTTATTGGGGCTGTATCCACACCCACAAGGGTAAGACACCTGATTTATTTGGAATGGAGTGTAAAATTGCCTATGCAAAAAGAAAATATTCCTGTCACACCCCTGTTTAGCTACATAAGTGGCCAATGGAAAGGGGGTTCTGACCCCATATATGCAATCGATTAGAGCATAGTTCAGAGCCATAAGTTTGAACATTATCATTCAGATAAAGTAGGCAAGCCCAGAGTGAGTGCAGCCCGAGTTACAGACAAGACTTCCTCTGTGATGCGGAATCAGGGTTTCCACCTTTCAGGACCTCAGTTTTCCCATCTGCCTAGTAGGGATAATAACCGTGGTTTCATAAGCACGCTAGGCAAGCCGGGCACATAGATTATTATCAGGAAACAATATGCCTTTTGCTGTGTTTGCTTAAATGATACACAGGACAGCAAGATGATCCAGTGAGTAATAACACTTGACACGCAAGCCTGAGGACCTAAGTTTAATCCCTGGAACCCACAATGGGAGGGGGGAAAAAAAGAAAACAACTCTCAAAAGTTGTCTTCCGACCTCTACCTACATTCCATGCCACCGGCATGCCTCCCCACCGTCGTACACACCACACATGCTCATATGTACAACAATGACACTTCACAAATTTAATTACAAGTTGACTTTAGGGATAAACTATTCCAGTTTAGTATATGGCCCCTTGGGTAGACTACTAAAGTCCAACTGCTCAGTCTGAAGGTAGAAGTCAAACATTAGCATCCCCTACTCTTTTCCCTCTAGAGGGATGATGGGGGTGTACCCTTATCTCCCTGAAAGAAATCCTCCTTATATCTGGCTTTTTATGTCTGGTACTCTTTTATGCAAACTCACACCTCAATGGGCATGAGAGTGTAACTGTGATGTTTACATATTTCTGGGCTGAATTTTCTAATCCTTCGTGTTAGCTGCTTTCTGTCTCTTTGGAATCCAGTAAAATGGTGCCATCTAACATCATCATGTTAGACCGATCTCGCTCTCTTGAGCAGACTGATTTAGCTCTTTGTATCAGGTCCTCGATCTATAGAGGGGCAGCTGGCACTTTCGACTGAGTTGACTACCACAGGTGACAGATCTAGCTAAACACAGAAAGCAGGTGTCCTTGTGCCTGCTTTGCCCAGCTGCTGATAGCCCTCTGCCTCAGGGTCCTAAGGACTTGCCTCACCTCGACGCTGTAATGAAATACCTCAGGCAGAGTCACTTTCCCACCACTGAGACAGGGCATCTGGTCTCCTTCAGCTACTCATGGGCAGGGCAGGGCAGGGCAGGGCTGGCAGTGATTAATGTCAAGAGACTCAGCCAAAAGCAGATGAGTGGCTGCCCCGTCAGTCTGACCTGCCAAAAGCAGCTCCACAGATCTGTTTGATTTCCGCCACACCCAGAGGAAAGGCAAGACTGGGAAATCAATGGAGCTTGCCTCCTGTGCCCTTTTGTGCACTTGGCTTTTGGGCTGAACGTTGCAGAGATCTTTGCAAATCTCCAGATGTGTAAATGTCATCAGGTGTGGGCACTGTTCTCTGAGTAAGAACCATCACTTTCTTGGACTTTAACTCTGTCTATAAGTGAAGGAATTGGCTTTCTCTGGGGGCCTGGTTCTTTTTGCAGTAGGAAGGGAGACAACGTTGACCTGCTGCTCTGAGCAGCATGCTGGCTTGTTAATAGCCCAGTGGCTCACCAGATAAGATCTTCTCCACACATGACTCAGGTGCTGGCCTCAGCAGAATGACGCAACTTAGGAGTTTGCCTTGAGTTATCAAAGTCACTAAGAGCTCAAGGGTGAGTGTCCAGGATGCTCAATGGGGCCTCCTTTCCTGCCTTGCATACTTCAAGGCTTTGCTACACTCTTTCTGACCCTGAAGAAAGCAGGGCTGAAAGTCTCATCACCCAAGGAACCTGCCATGTCCTAAGGTCCTTCTTTGGACTAGAAAATGAGGAGTGGAAGAAAAGTCTTCATTTCCAAAGGAGAGCCAGGCAGAACTATAAGATCGAGAATGTCATGTCCAGATGCTGTTACTTCATGAGAAACTGACCATGCTTGGAGTAGGTATAGTCATGTAACTACAGCCATCTTTTGTTATGTCTCGTGATCTGGGGTTGAGTGGGTTTCCCTGGTGGTTCTTGCTGGAGGACTCTCATCCAGTGCAAGGGGATTAGGGCTGGGGCTGGAGCCTCCTTGAAGCCATTTCCACCCTAGGTAGTGGATGCTGGCTAGTGGCTGAGACCTCATTTAGCTGTGGATGAGGACATTGACACGGTCTCCTCATGTGGTGTGGTGATCCTCGCAGCATGTGACAGTGCCCAAAGAAAGGAGGTGGAGGTGCATAGTGACCATTTGTGACCCACTATCAAAAGCCACTGGAAAAGGTCTCCTTTCCAGTACGTTCTGTTGGTCCAAGTGTTAGAGTCCCTTTCTCCATTCACAGGGAAGCACCAAAGACCCTACTCCTCCCCGAGGAGAATGTCCAAATCACACTGCAAGACTGATAGGGTGAGACATAGCCATTTAGGAAAATGCAATTTGTCATAGGTGGGACAGCAAGTAATCACAAACCCTGGCCCCTCAGTGGCCAGAGTTACTAAGAGGAGAGCAGAGTGAAGGGAGTCCAACAGAGTGAAGGAGCAGTGAAGACTTTCTGCGTCCTTCAGGGTGGGGTGCTGGAGAAAGGGAAAGAAAGCCGCAAGCAGAGATGGAGCTAGGCAGGGCCATGAGCAGAGTCATGGACATGGGGTATCAGGAAGAGTTGTCTAATCAGAGCTGAAGGGGAAGGAGAAAAAAGAGAATCTGAGAGACATGAGAGTGTTTAGGGCCGTGTACCATGTGTGAACTTCATTCCTCAAGGACTAAGGACTCCCTCCAGGGCAATTTGGGCAGCCATTCAATGATTCTGCTGGCACAGAATTGGAGAGGTGGCTGAATGGCCCTGGAAGATGCAAAAATACAGTGCCAAGAAGGGAGGATATGGGGGTGGCCAGAGCATGGAGGAGAGGCTAGATATGGTGACTGGTTAGGACAGAGACTGGGAAGAGGCAGCCCTGAAAACAGATAATCATCTTGTAACCCCTTGGTGAAGATGGTGGTGGGTATTGGAAAAATGTGTGTGTTCTAGAACTAGTTGGGCAGTATCTGATTTTGATGATCATTTATTCTATACATTGTCCCTATTTGCGGATGAAAAATCTAATCTTAATACATGACAGATGGTGAGGGCCACCTTTCTCTCTCTCTCTCTCTCCCTCCCTCTCTCTCTCTCTCTCTCTCTCTCTCTCTCTCTCTTATTTAAAGCAATATACACAAACTTTAAAAAACAAACAAACAGCGTTTACTTCAAATAGCCTGGTGGGTGTCTAATAAGCTCAGCACCAAGAAGGGATGCTGTCTCTGAGCCCCAGAGAGAGAGGCAGACAGCCCCTCTTGAGTCCTCTCTGCAGAAAATGTTTCCTGAACATCTGCAAAGTGCAAAATCCTGCCCTGGCTTCTGGTGTTGCATTTTCTTTTTCTTTCTGCTATGTTCTGTCTTATTTTTTAGGTACTGGGTAACAAACCCAAAAGCTTTCGGTTGAACACCAAAAGTAATCGTGGGCACACATTATTTTCATGCCATGATGGGTGCCATGGTAAAGCCTTGTATTCATTATTTCCTCTTAACTAACTCAGGTTTCAACTTTGTAGGGACCCGTGTGACTAGGAAATGGCAGGGAGGGCCCAGGCAAGAACCCAATCTGCCACTTCTAACGACGTGTTAGCCCTTTACACAGTACTGTTCTGGGTAGGGCAAGGGTTCCAGACGGTGGTGAGATGGGGATTTCATTCTGAGCAGAGCTTGTTGGGATGGTGGAGATATCCAACGTAGAAAGACAGCAGCTTCAGAAACAGTGCAAGAGGGTCAGTCAGGGTCCCTAACTGACAATCAATCGGTGTCTGATGGAAAACCCTGGATTACTGCTTGGTATTGACAAGCCAATAAAGTTATTCAATTCATCAAGGTCTTAATTGTGCCACATGATACCTGGTTGGACTTTCAAATGAAAAATTGTCTGAGAGGCAGAAAAAGCCAAGTGACAATATACGTGCTTCCCCTTCCTCTGGTCCCATTTTCATGTGCTGGCTGGCTAGATCCTTCTGTCCCTGACCCTTATCCCAGCAGAGAATATTAGACTAAGGGTGCAGAGTGCAGAGTACAAGCCCAGGGTCGCCACCCTCCCTGCAGTAGCTAGGAAGGAGTGAAGGAAGAAACAGGCAGGGGCTACTCCAACTCTCATCTAAATGTGTTCTCTGGAGGAGGAAATGGTATGGAAAAAAGGAGAAAATTGCTCTTCCACTCGGCTTCCCCCTATTGCCTGGAAGTGTTGATGATTTGAGAATTAAGGAGTCTAGGTTCAAAGCCCATTGAAGCTGCACTTTGAGCGGTTCTCAGATTTCCTGTGATGGATTCCTGCGTATCTCCGCTCTTTAATTTACAAAGAGCACCTGCCCTTTTAGCTTGCTACTTTAGCTTTCCTCGCAAGCACATTACAAAGCATTTTAATGTTGAGTAGCATACTCATATTTCAGCTTTATGGCTTGCATTGTTCAAAATGCAGTTATGAAAAGTACGCTTAATAAAGTCACTTCCATGTTGTTGATTTGTTTTTCTGCAGCAGCAGCAGCAGCAGCCATAAGCTGTGTATATTATTCAGAAATAGCTTATCTTTGGACCTTTCCTTCTGAGATAGAAATTCACTTCACCTGGCTATAAATCAGGCTCAGAGGTACCTTTAATATAGAAAAGCAGATAAAACAAACTTAATAACCCTAGTGTTAAAATATCATATCTGGAAAATAGTTTCCTCTGCAAAGTTCAAAGAGGAAGTACGTGTGTGTGTGTGTATGTGTGTGTGTGTGTGTGTGTGTGTTTGCATGAATGTGTGTTCTACAGTTCTACAGCTACAGTTAAGCCCTTCTGATTAGAAATACCTAACAACTCCACCAGTGGAGCATTTGGCTCCCTTCCCCGGGGTGGAACAGAAGTGACATGATTAACTGGCTTGTGCAAACGCTAAAGGGTGGCCAAGAGGCCAAGCCATTTTTCAATCTGGAGGCGAAGTTGTGCTTGCTTCCATTTGCATAGAGCCCCTAATAACACTTTCCCGGCCCTAGTCAGGAAGATTGACTCTGGATGCTGTTTCCAGGACACACCAGCTCTCTCTGCAACTGGCCATAGCTGCCATCCGCGATTCTAGGCAGCCCGGGACAAGCAATAATTTTTTTGCTGCCATCCATGTTTCTAGGCAGCCCGGGACAAGCAGTCATTTTTCCTGGGGAGACTTAGCTATGAATGACAAACAGGCTGCATTTATAGGGACACTGTGAAGCTGGGTGACGCTGAACCACTTACGTTCTTTGCACAGAGCGAATATAGATTTGCTTGCTAAAGACCGATTTGTTCTAAATTTCTGCGCCATTTCCCGTTCTTCTGTGGTATTTTGCCTGGAGCGCTCCCCCTTGTTTCATTTGGTTAACAGCTTCCTTTTCCTACCTCCTAATGATGGCTGCAGGAGCTGTGGTCAGCACAACAGGGAGGGCTTGAGCAAAAGCCACCGGACCAGGCAGAGTGGAGGGAGGATGCTGATCCAGCCTGGAAACATCCCACTGAACTGGATAAAGGGCCCCATGATAGCTACAGAGTGAGGTGTGGCTCCTGTAGCTGCAGGGATGCATAAATATGATCTGAAACTTCTGCTCCGGGCTAAGCTGATCTGGTTTCCACATGACCCAAACAGGCAAGGACAACAACAGAGGCCTGTATGCAGTGAATACATGCAAACGCCTGGATACCGTGTACAGCCTTTCCCATCAAGTTGACTGGCTCCTCAACACAATAGCCATAGAAAATGAGCCTTACCGCCTCGTATTCTTCATGAGAAAACCAACGCTCTGAAAGGGAAAGAGGCTTCTGTAAGGTCACATAGCTGGGAAATTGGGACCGACCTGCCTCGTGCCCTCACTCTTTTGTGCCAGTGGTTCTAAATTATGATGTGCACAAAGTGAGTGGGAAGAGATTCACATTTAATAGGTTCCCTTGTTCCACTGCTGCTGCTAGTGGTGGTCCAGCATCCTGGCCTTACCATGGTCCTGGACCATGCCCCTCCATTAACAGATCCATATTGTCTGAGCATCTACTCTGAGCATAGACCTAAGGCTGTTTCTGGTGGGCGACACATGGAGTAAAAACAGGGAGGACAGAATAAATCAAAGCCATGATAAAGTCGTGCATAAGACAACTAGCTGCTGCTTCTCACTTCTGTAAAGGAATGTGGTGTGTCCTCCATCTGCGTTTCTGCTCCTGAGCTCTCTGCCTTGTTAAAGAAATGAATGAGTCTGGCTGCACACATCATAACCTCCACTACTCCCTCTGCCAACAGATATTGATTTTGCCACCCGCAAGATCGCAGCGTGTCTGACTCAGATGAAGATCATCGCTCAGGACGGTGATAACTTCAAGACGAAAACCAACAGCACGTTCCGCAACTATGACCTGGATTTCACCGTTGGGGTGGAGTTTGATGAACACACAAAGGGCCTGGACAACCGGCATGTCAAGGTACTCCTGGGTGGGCGAGTTTTGGCTGGGGCTGTTTGTGTAGGGACTAGCTTTCTGGCTTCACAGCGAAACAACCCCAGGAAGGCTCAGGTAAGCAGGACCAGAATAAACTTACTGATGTTGACAGTGAGTAATTAGTGAAGGCTGAGGAAGGAGAGGCAGGGAAGGAAGGAGGAAAGGCCTTAGATCATGTGAGAAATTAAGACCACATGACTGAGCAAGCAGCCAAAAGAGGACAAGGTGGGGTGTCCTCGGAATTTGTAACAACAGAGTTCCAAGCAGTTTACCTAGGTGTGAAAAAGCAGACATGCTCACCCAGTCCTGCCTAAGAAAGGATTAGGCCTCATGGTACCTGTTTGGTTTGGTTTGGTTTGGTTTGGTTTGGTTTGGTTTGGTTTGGTTTTGAGCTGGGTTTTTTTTTTTTTTTAAAGGAATCTCTGTTCATGTTTTTACATGTAACATCTCACTTTAAGATGACCCAATCGGCCACATTTCTCTTTAGAAAATCATGATGCAATTGAAATAATGACAAACTCACTAGGCCCGGTCAGTTACCCAGCCTTGGTGACTTGTTGGGGCCTGTGCCCTAGCAGAGTCGTAACTCCCAGGAAAGCTTGCTTGTGGTAATCCTCCCTTAGCCACGGTCTCACTTCAAACAGTTTCCATAACCCATGGTCAACTGCAGTCCAAAAACAGAAAGTGGAAGATTCTAGAGATAAATGACCACTGAGTTTTAAGCTGAATGCCTTGCTCACTATGATCCAGTCTCCCTTGCCTGCTCCATCCTCCCCGGATGTTAGTCATGTCTTTCCCAGCCTGTCCACCCTGTGTGCCTTACCCACCCACCAGTCACTTGGTAGCCATGTAAGTTCCACGGAACACATAGGCTTCAATTCCACCCAGAACTACACTGAGGCTCTTGAGACACGTGCGTCATTGATGAAAGGGGCTACTGTACTTGCACTGGCCAACCCTGAAAGCTCGTAGGAAACAACTCTCACCGCAAGGTGAAGGGCTGCCTCCAAGCCTGAGACCTTGACTCTAACAAAAGATAGGCCTTTACCCAGAACAGCTGCTCCTCAAGGAAGCAGAGGCTGGTAAGCGGCAAGGAAATGTGGGGTAAAGAAAGTAAGGGCAACAGTAGCTTCCCTACATCACAGTGTGGTGTCACTGCTCCTCACTCTCCGTCCTAGTCAAAGACTCTCCTCCCCCGACCTATAAAAAAAAAAAAACCCAAAGTTTGCTCAAGTACACAAAAGGGATATTTGCTCAACCATGTTTATAGCAGCTTTATTTGTAATAGCCAGAACCTGGAAACAACCCAGATGTCCATCAACGGAGGAATGGGTACAGAAATTGTGGTATTTTTACACAATGGAATACCACTCAGCAATCAAAAAGGAGGAAATCATGAAATTTGCAGGCAAATGGTGGGATCTAGAAAAGATCATCCTGAGTGAAATATCCCAGAAGGAGAAAGACAAACACAGTATATACTCACTTATATAGACCTACAAGATATGATAAACATAATGAAATCTATACACCTAAAAAAGATAATCAAGAGAGCGGACATGGGGTAAGATTATCAATCCTCCTGTTGAAAGACAGAGGGGATGCGCATTGAACATTGACAGGAGTCTACTGAGCGCATTTGAAAGACTCTAACTAGCAGTGTTTTCAAAGCAAAGACTCATGACCAAACCTTTGGCAGAGTACAGGGAATCATAAGAAAGAAGGGGAGTTAGTCTGATGAGGAAAGGATAGGAGCTCCACAAGGACCAAATATATCTGGGCACAGGGTCTTTTCTGAGACTGACATGCAACCAAGGACCATGTATGAATGTAACCTAGAACCTCTGCTCAGATGTAGCCTGTGGTAGCTCAGTAACCAATTGGTTTCCCATAGTGAGGGGAACAAGGACTATTTCTAACAGGAACTCAATGACTGGCTCTTTGGCCTCCCCAACCCCCAAGGGAGGAGCAGTCCTGTTAGGCCACAGAGGAGAGCTTTGCAGCTAGTCCTGAAGATACCTGATAAAACAGGATCAGATGAATGGGGAGGAGGTCCCCCCTATCAGTGGACTTGGCAAGGGGCATGGTGGAGATGAGGGAGGGAGGGAGGGACTGGGATGGAATGAGGGATCGGGACACGGCTGGGATACAGAGTTAATAAAATGTAACTGATAAGAAAAAAATAAAATTAAAATAAAATAAAATAAAATAAAAAAAATAAAAAATAAAAAAATAAAAAAAATGGAAGGGCTGCTGGTGTGCCACATACCAGCATTGGCTATTGACTGTACTGTCCATTTCCATGTAGTTTATACAAGGCTGGGCCTTCACTGTACTCTTTGGGCCAATTGATTACCAGGCTCCTAACCAGAGGAGACTGGAGCTGAACGCCAATGAGCCAATGAGCCCTCATCTCCAGCAGAGTCCCAGCCCCTTGGAATGGCACAGTGCTACGGCATCTGCCACTTTCTCTACCCATTCAGCGCAGCTGCCTCTTCTTCCAGGAGCTCTTCCCTCCCAAGTCTCAGATCACTCCCCAAGGCAAGGGACACAAGTTCCGGTTCCTCTCCTGGGCTGGGAATCTTAACAATGGCTAGCTGGGGTCTTTCAGTTCTACTGAGATAGAGACCATGGAGAGCAAAGGAGAAGCTCTTCAAATGCTGTTCTCTGGCCACCTTTATTTCCCTTAGTGTTTGGCTACAGCAAGAGGCAGCAGTAGGCAGGTAGGACCAGCAGAAGGTGGTACCCTCTGATGTCATTGATCCTGTGCTGGTCTCGGGAATGGGGACCCTTAGCCAACAGGTGTTAGGGCTCCCCAGTAGAGTAGATGTCCAGATTTCTTACGCCTTAATACTGACCATTCATTTTTAGCCCAAGAGTCTGAGATTGTTAGCTCTAAAGACTTGATAGCCTTCTGGAAATCTGGTGACCAGGGCAACAGTTTCTCTTCTGTGGCTCTGTCCAGCTTTTCCTCTTTCTTAAATTTCAGCTCTCTGATGAGTCTGCTCAGAGAGCCAGAGAAAGGGATGCCAGGACCAGTCTGAGTCTTGACTCTTTAGCTCCCGTCACAGCAGACCCTCTGCTAGGCTACCAGGGGAGGTTCAAAAGTTACAGGCTCAGTGAGAGTTCACTGAGGCCTGGGATAGCACAGTCTGGTACTGTTTCTAACAACCTTGGCTTAAGCCAGGCCTTCAGAAACCAGAGCAGTTAGCTGTGATCATCAAGGATCCTTCCAAAGGCATTCGTGGAGTGTTCAAGATGGCTGGGGTAACCATAAGGACAGTCCAAGCTGGCCACTGGGCTGACAGACCTTTTGTCTGAAGGAGTGAGGGCAGCAAGGGAGAATCCCAACAATTGCTAATTAGGGAATCAAATTAACCCATGCCTCAACATCTTTACTTCTTCACACATAGACACACACACACACACACACACACACACACACACACACACACCAGAAGGGAAGGAGTACTTACCATAAGAACCAGTCATTAACTAGTCGTGATTTAAGCCTATTTTAATAGTGTATAACAGTTCCCAGTGTTCCAAGGGGTTGTGGTCCATCCTACCTGCCTCAGGAAGAAACACTGTTATTCTATGGAGAAAAGGGCACATCTTTCCATCAAGGTATCCTGGCATTCATAATCTCATTCATCAGGAAAAATTAGATACAAATGCTTCTTGCTAAAATAATAATAATAATAATAATAATAATAATAATAATAATAATAATAATAAAATGACAGGGTAAAAAGTATTTTGGAGGTCTTCCACCAAAGCCTTTTTAAAAAGAAAGCCCCAGAAGGTCCACTTTAGGACCCTTTGCTGTGAGGCTGTGGGGTGATGGATCCACCAGCAGTTTCTGAACGATGGCCAAAAAAACCAGTTCATTAGACACCAAAACCAATAGGAAATATGCCTCTGAAATTTTGCATTTCTCCATTGTTCTAGCCTAACCTCAATCAATGATTCATTTTCTTGCTCCTTGCAGTGTGGGTTCTTGAGAGCTAAGTTTCTCTCTTGTTCTTTATCACCTGAGATGACAGGGAATTCCCTTTTCTTGAAATAAGTCACTTGCCAACACTAAATGCCCCTGCCCTCTGGCCTCACCTATTCCCATTCTCGTTCCTCTCTTCAAGATGATCACTTAGCATCATTGCAGGGAGAAACAGTTATTTTTTTTCCATGCCTTGTCTCTTCTTTGCCTGCAGCAGAAAGGCAGGATAACGCTCTCTCTCTCTCTCTCTCTCTCTCTCTCTCTTTCTCTCTCTCACACACACACAACTGGTGGGATGAGATCTATTTGATTAGAGACTGGACAAAGGTCTATTACCATGAGAATTACAGCTCATAATAGGTGCCCTCAGGATTGCCTACAGCCTGCAACTGGAATAAGACCCCTTAGCTCTAAAAGGATGCCAAGGAGTGCATGAGTCTCTCTCCACTCTCAAGCTGTGTGTGTACCTGTGTATGCACAGATTTGCGGGTGCATGTGTTTTGTGTGCAGCAAATCTCATTTGGCACACTCTCATTTCCCTAGGGCTCCACTTGTCAACTCTGATCATACTCAGAACCTTCGAGAAAAGTTGACATCCATTAGAGAAAGATGTGATGGTAGCAGGAACCTTGAAGGGCCCAGTTCTGAACCAGCCCAGAGAAGGAGTATAAAAACACATCAAAGATGAATCTGACTCTGAGGGGCTCAGGGACGCCCCCTGCCCCTTCTGATCATCATATTTGTTCCCCATGTCTTACCCTGACTTGTTTCTAGCCCCTTGTCAAAAATACAAAAGTGGGGATGGAGGCACGGCTAGCTGGTATAACACTTGCTTAGCATGTGCAATGTCATAGGCTCAATCTTCAGAGCTTAAAAAATAAACATAAATCTAAGTGTAAAATATAGAGACATGATTGGAGGGCTTAAGTGATACACAGCCAGAAAAATCTCTTGCTGCGCAAGTGTGAGTACTTGAGTTTGTATCCCAAAACCCCACATACAAAGCCAGGCACAGCAGCATACATCTGTAATCCCACAGTTTGGGAGGTAGAGACCAAAGGATCCCTGGAGCTTGCTGGCCAGACAGCCCAGCCAAATCAGTGAGCTCCAGGTTTAGTGAGAGACCCTTTCTCTAAAGGTAAAGTAGAGAGCAACTGAGAAAAGCATTCAGCCTTTATCTTAGCCTCCACATACACAGACATACACACAGACGCACCTACTTGCACACACATGCAAATATACTGGCATGCATGTACTTATGCCAATAAACAAGAAGTAATTGATAATCCCCATAATGCAATGCAGAGTTTTACACAGCCATCAGAAAGAATGAAGTGCTAATTTCCTAGGACAGTGTGAATAAACTGGGAAAACATGCTGAGCACCGGAAGCTACACACAAAAGATCATGTATTTTATGAAGACCCCTGACAGGCAAATGCATAAGAAGAAGGGGTAGAAGACAAGAAAGACAGTACTGAATGCTAGTAGATAGAAGGTGATGAAATTTTCTGGATACATTCATGAGGATGATCACACAATTTTGCGAATACACAAAGAAACAAGAGTGCCACCTCTCAAACTCTATAGAATTCTATAGACTTTTAACAGAAAGAGTCTTATGGTTTGCAAATTACATATCCAGTTTTAAAAAAATAATCGAAATTGGATTGGCTAGTGAGGGGTAGGGAAAGCAGGAAGGGGCAGGGCAAATAGCACCATGTGACTTGGGGAGTTTCTCCTTTGGAGGACAGCCCAAAGGTGGTTGGAGAAAAAGTGTCTTAAGAAAGTTGCAAGAAGGAGCATCTCCATCTCCATATGTCAATAGATCCCTTCCGTGCCTAGAATTTATAGCTGTTACTTTCCTTTTTTTTGGGGGGGGGGGAAGTGATTCAGAGTCATAGAAAACCTACAAGAAAACAACAATAACAACAACAAAAAAACCTTTTCACTCTTTATTAAGCATTGTCTGTTGTTAGTGCAGGAGAGACAGCTCAGCGGTTAAGAACCTTAACTCCTCTTGCAGAGGACTCAGGCTTGGTTCCCAGCACCTATGTCAGGTAGCCTACAACCATCTGTAACTTCACTTTCAAAGAATCTGATGCCTTCTGCCTCCACAGGCAGAATGTATTTGTTACACATACATTCATGTAAACACATACACATGATATTTTTTTTAAAAAGTTGCATGTTATTAATGTTTGCCCCTTGTGGTTTTTATCATGTTCTCAGGTATTCTCTCTCTCATTTATTTAAGAACACACACACACACACACACACACAACAACAACAATTAAAGAAAAGGAGGCCATGAATTTGAAGTGAGCTACATGAGAACTTTTGGAAGGAGAAAAGAGAAGGGGGGAATGTTAAAATTATAATCTCATTTTTTTTTTTAAGGAATAGGATGGTTTTATAGGCCTGTGGTTCAGCTATTGACTCTCACAGACTGAACACTGGGCTGGCACCTGTGCCTAATTTGACATGAAGAGCCTTTTTGAGAGATGCTGACTTTGGAAGTGTGAGAGGAAAGAGTCACAGTAGGCTCACCCGCTGCCTCCTTTCTATCCAAACCTGCCCTTTTCAAAGCTCTCTCCCTGTCCATTCTCTCACTCAGAAGTTATAGCTTCCACAGCTGCAGGATCTTTCAAAAGTTTAAGTCTGTTTTTAAAACCTCCTCAGACACAGGGATAAGGTCAGCAGCTAAAAGCTGGGCATGATAGCAAACGCTGTAACCACAACTCTGAAAAGCTGAGACAAGGGAACAGCAGCTCCCAGGCCAGACTGCACTCTATAATGAGACAGAAGGAGGAAGAAGAGGAAGAGGAGGAAGGTAATTTAAGTGAGTAAGAAGTCTGAGCTGTGGAATTGGTTCCTTTAACCATTCTCTTCTCTCTGCTTCTCATTGCCTCAAGTAGAAGTGAGTCCACAGTCTTGTGAGCATTACTATGATTCATTGGTAACCAATTTACTTTTGGGTCATAATAACTTTGGATCTTGCTGCCCAGTGTGAGTTATTAAAATGAAATATTAGGACAGGCCTCCTTGCACTAACGTTTTCCTCCTTTCTTCATTCTGCAAATTTTGCTAAGTTCCTACTGCCTGCCAAGCCTCTGTCAGTGAGGTAGCCGACATGATGAGTTGGAGGCTCCTTTCCTGTCCTCAGGGATCTCAGGCTTCAGACAGAAGACAGACAAATAAATGGGCAGTGTCTACTGCATGTACCCTTTGCAGGGCTTGTGTGCTACCTCTAAGGCCAGAGGTAGGTGGGCTTCCCTCGAGACTCTGCTTCGGGGAAACTGTCCAGAGTCAGACTCATGGTCAGTGCTGGCAACTGTGCTGGGTGTCTCTGCAGCCACAAACATCCACATGGCCTCTCCTTTTCTGAGCTCCCTGACTGTGAAGGGAAACAGACATCAAGGCAAGCAGCATGCCCTGGGGCTTCTGGTGAAAGGAACTATGGAAAGAAGGAGAAGAGAAGATGCATTCCTTACCTAAGGAGAAGACAAGAGTCCTTACCCATCTTACTAGGGAAGCAATGCAGTTCAAGGCAGTGAGGAGAAATAGCAGATGCATTTTCCTGGCATTTCTTCCTCCCAGAGGAGCCAGGCTACCTATGGCTTGAGCTTCTCTAAGTCCTTCCTATGAGGCTTCAGATGGCCTTGAAGGAGGAGACATTTTTCTTTTAGAAAGCTCAGAATACTTTTAAATTAGTTTGGGGGACTGTGACCACGTGAATGGTTCCAGTTTCTTAAAACATTGAACACTGGAGCCTTCTTCCCACCTTGCCTCCCTAGCTCCTTTCCTTCGAAGGGATAATCACTACTCAGGATTTCGTTTACTTCCTTGCAGAGGACAGGAACCAAAGCCTAGGAATACACACACACCCCTCACCTGGGTCCCTTGTCTTACTCACACTGCTCAGCATCTGGGAGTTCTAAACATTCAAACAACCAGCTCTGGCTGTCGTCTTTCAATGGCTGCGCAGCACGGAAGAACCCCATCATATTTAACCAGCCACCCACTGACAGAATTTATGAAGCTTCCAGTCGTTTGCTGTAAGGAACAATCCCGTGACGCATTGAGGAGTAAAATGGAGAGGAATGGCACCATGCATTAAAGCATATATCATGGCCAAGGTCAAATATTATTTTAGAAATAGGTGGGTTTAACAGTCTGTAGAAAACAGGTTTGTATAAGGCACAAGGAGACGAGAGGGGAAAAAAAAACCTGCAAGCCAGTTTGTCCTCAGTAGGGTGTCCAAGATATAGAAGAAAGCAAGCATCAGGACCTAGGCCTAATTGTCTTCAGAAAGGCACCAGGCGGTTTGTGCACACATGGAAAAAAAAAAAAAAAAACAACTCAGCCATGTCAAGTTCACCCCCTAGGAAGTAAGACACAGACACAGTGGGGATGGCATCAACATCTCAGCAGGTGCAGTAGTGAGCAGGCCTGATCTGGGCACCAAGGCAGCTCTTAAGAGGAAAACGGACAGGGCCTTGCAGCCTCCTGGATACTGAGGCCATGGCTTCTCCAACCACTGGCCAGCTCAGCCTGGCTGGAACGGAGGATGCCCTTTCTAAGTTCCGCTGCCATACCTACGCTACTATGCCGTTGGCATCACTACCCAGAGAAAACCTGCAGACAAGCAGCTTGTAGGTGACAGATCCTGGAGCCACGAGAGCAGCTCCCTCATAAGTAGGGAGCCTTCCTGTACTTATTTCCACCTGCAGCGGCCAAGGCTCAAAGAGCAACCCCTGCAGGAAAGTCCCAGGTAGAAATTTTAGGTCAAAGAATACAAGCAATATCACAATCCTAGCACGGGGGAGGTGGAGGCAGGAAGGTCAGGAGTTCAAGGACATCCTCAGCACACAGTGAGTTCACAGCTGGCCAGGGCCATGTGAGACCCCTGTCTTTAAAAAAGAAAAAACAAAAATAGCATATGAAATAGGAAAATTTCAAATAATGAATTAAAATTCTTTTTAAAAACAAGTAAATAAGTAAATAAAAGCAAAAGCGTAAGCAAAATCGTGAGCAGTTCCATATTTGGAAAGCTAATGTAAAATAGTTCTCACAGGAGATTTCTCTTCCCACAATCCCTGAGAGAGGGTACACACACAGCCCTCACCTCCGTTACTGAATCTTTGATCTCTGAGCGCATGATTAATTGGATCTGAGAAGCAGTCTTATCAGCGTTTCTCCTGTTATTTGTGAAGCAGAAGATCTCACGTTTAAAAGCTATCTACTACAAGTTTTCCCTGTAAGCCCGTGGTTCATACGCCTGGTTGGCATGGACTCTTAGGTTAATGATCTTTTCATTGATTTACAGAGGTTTTTTTATATATAAGGACATCAAGTCTTTACTGATACGCTACAGCTCTTTTTCCCTGTTGGTTATTTGTCTGTTGACTTTGAGGTATTTTTTCCTTCCAGAAATTCCACATTGTTAATAGTTGAATTCATCATCTTCCCTTCACTAACCCGAAATGCTATTTTTACCATATAATAAAATGGTTGAGTAGAACTCCTTAGAAGAGAATACAGGCAGCCTGGGGAAACCAGCTTAGCTGGAATGGAGGGTACATGCGAGACAGAGACTGGAAGGTCCCTGGGATCACGAGGGCAGGACTCTGTCCCGTGGGCATTCAGGACCCTGGCAGGAACTGCAGCTGCAGATTTAAGCTTGTTCAGTCTTCCAAGGCCCTTGCTGTGATTTGCCTGATGAATTGTCATTGCAGACACTAGTGACCTGGGACGGCAACACCCTAGTGTGTGTGCAGAAGGGGGAGAAGGAGAACCGTGGCTGGAAGCAGTGGGTTGAGGGAGACAAGCTGTACCTGGTAAGCCCTGCAGTTTGTACAACATTTTCCACAGCACTCACCTGGCCAGGCGCTTTGACAAGAAGAATGGCCCTGAGCCCCAGCCAAATGCATTTGGTCATGTAGTCAGAAAGCCATTCCAGTCTGGCTCGGGGGACTCTAGAAAGAAATCTATATGGCTGTTTCTGTGAACAGCTGCAATTAAGAAGAAAGTTTAAAATGCTGAGTTAGGAAACCGAGAGCCAAGGAGAAAAGCAGAGAACCTGCTAAGGAGCAGCTGGGGAGAAAGGAGGGCTGTGGAATTAAGCTGCCTGGAGGAGGACAAGGCCAGGCATCCTGTCACTTCCGGGTCGGGGGCGGGAGTGGTCAGGAGGAAGCTAACAGCATCAGGGGCATGGCCATTGGCCTCTCACCCTAAGGCAAGATGGACCTGATCCCAACTTTTGTGAGGGCGATTTGTTCCTAGAACAGAACAGTAGGGACAATGGCTGACATCCTTCAACAAACTGTCACTGCCTCTATAGCTTTATTTTTCATTCTTCAATCTTCACAGCAATTTATGGGCCCCACATTGGAACAGTGAAAAAAAAGTTTCACTCTTTCAAACATCCAGCTGCTCATTTGCTAAATGAATGGCTCATTCAACAAATTTATCCTCATTCACTCATTCATTCATTCATTCATTCATTCATTCATTCATTCATTCCTCTACAGAGTCAGGCAGGTAACCAGCTCTAAGGTCAACATGAATGCCACCAAGATGCCCTTCAGAACTAAGCTAACTTCAGGGGCACGTCAGCTGATGATACATGAGAAGCATTCCCGGTGTCTTTTACTGGTAGCTTTCCCCTACCTCCTGTGGCTTAGATAACAGATTTTTTAAAAAATTGTAGGGCCATTCCCAACAGCACCTGTGGCTAAGACAACAGATTCATCGTCAGCTGCAATGAACATGGTGGCCTTCCTCATGCTCACTCACCACCCCCCCCCTTCAGGGTTCAGTGAAATGCAGATAAGGCCTGAGGTTCTCTCCACCTCATTGAAAAGTGGGGACCTGTCAGCTGTTCAGGCAGACCAGAGGGAGCCCTTCCGAAGCTCCCATCCTGTGGTCGGGCCACTGATCTCCACCTGCCTATTGCTCTTCCATGCTATCTTTCCCTTTCTCTTGGCTTCGGCACCTTTTAATAAATTAAAATTGCTTTCATCATGGGAGTAGGAGAAACCCCACCCAAGAGGGTCGCCTCTTTGCATTTTTTCATTTTTAGAGTTGTTCAAGCTCAGTTTGAGTGCTAAAATCAAATCCCTGCTCCCCCGCAGGGCACGGCAGCCTATTGGGTCTGTGAGGGACACTTTGCCCAGAACAACTAAATGTCCTCTTAACTCTAGCCCCACCTGCTTGCCAGACAGTAAGAGGGCCAGGTGCTGGGCAAAAGGAAGGCGGGACCAGCTGCCATTCACCCACTTTCTGACTTGCAGGAGCTGACCTGCGGTGACCAGGTATGCCGACAAGTGTTCAAAAAGAAGTGATGGCCACAGGGGACACCGGACACACACGCACAGAGTTCTCTGTCAGCCCTGGAAAGCAGCATGGGGTCATCCAGTCACCTGCCTGGGTTTAAAATGGAGTGTGTAAAAGGAGCCCCCACCCCCCCACCACCACCTTGGAACCTGTTATTAAATAAGAAACAAAATGTCCACTCAGCCTTGGAAACCCTTTCCATCTTTTATTCCCAGTTGTCCGTTTCTCCGGCAGAGCAGGTGCTGCCTGCCAGGCTGGTGTTGCCTTTATTTTCATTTCGTTTGTTTCTCTTTTTCTCGGGCTTGGCTTGTTGGAGGTGTTAGAAACGTCTTCTAGAAGACACTGCTGATTCATGAACCTCTCCTCTGGGAGACATTCCTTCGGAGAGATACATCTCCCTTCTCCAACAGTCTATATTAAGATCCATCTGCCTTCTGGTTCATGCTCTGACCTGAGCAGAACAAATAGAGCTGCCCCTCCCCCACAGCCTCAGCAGTCTGCAATGTCAGCTGCTCTTAGTTCTCAGCCCTTCAGCCCTGTGCTGGGAAGGGAGTTATGGAACACCTGCCCACTGGCACCTCCTCACCCACCATCCATGTAGGATGCTACGGGCTATGCACTAGTAAGTCTGAGTTAGAGTTCTGCCACTCCACTGCTTGGCTAAAAGACCAGCATGGTCACTTTCCCTTTCTGCCCTTGTTTTCTCTCTCCTGTAACCGGAGAAGACACTCCATGCCTGTAATCTCAGCAGTCAGGGAGGTAGAGGCAGGTGGATCACTGTGAGTTGAAGGCCAGCCTGGTCTACAGAGCAAGCCCAGGACAGCCAAGGCTACACAGAGAAACACTGTCTCAGAAACCCGAAGGAAAAGACAAACACAAACGCGTGCACACACACACAGAGAGAGAGAGAGAGACAGAGAGAGAGAGAGAGAGAAGACACTAGGTCACTGTGACAAGCAAACTTCAAGGCACACTTTGGTGTGGGGCCTGGCCCCTAGTGAGGACTCAGTCCCTTCCAGATTTTGTGTTTGTGCTAAGCTACTCCCTTAGGAGTAACAGATGAGCAGCGACGCCACAGTGACGCCACAGAAGTTTCAGGACCTCTGAAGCTTCACGATACTATCAGAGTGTTAAGCTTGGCACCCCGTGCCAGCTGTGCTTTCCCACTGGACATAGAAGGCTGCGCTTGGGAAGAAAGCGGTTAATGGTGATAGATCTATGGGTCTTATCTGTGGGGTTCATTGAGTCCCGAAGGCCAAAACAGGATTTTTTTTAATCCCTCGACAAGAAGCCTGGAGTTCCACCAACAGGTAGACACTCTATAAAAAAACAAGTTCTCCTGAGAGGGACAGAACATGGTGGTGACATAAGGTATCGTGATTGGAATGATCAGATCCCACAATCCTAGGCTTCCTGGAATTGGGGCAAGAAGGCTGAAATCCAGCCACGTGGCCCAGGGCCAGCCTAACTCAAACACTCTGGCCAGGCTGTGGGGGCTCCTGGCAAGCTGTGCTTCCCAGCCACCATGCCATGTGCCTGGGACAAGAAGGCCAGGAAAGTACTTGGGCCTGAGCCTCATGATGGCTGGGTGCTGCTCCCAAGGGAGGTCTTTTAGTGAGAAAGTGGGATCTGCCCTAAGAGGCAGGCAAACCTCCTGAGGAGAACCAGGCTCCATCTCTGGGTGCAGACCCAGGACTGACTGAAAGGCCTGAGTTGTGCCCTTTGCCCCACTTTTCCCAGAAATTTCCCAGGAACCTCATCCCCAACATCTGTTCCTCTCAGTCTTATCCTTCCTCTGGGTAGCCTCAAACGACCCTCTTTTTGTCTCAGAAAAAAACAAAACAAAACAAAACAAAAAAAACCCTAATGAATGAGGACCAGCCATAGAACTGAACACAAAGCAGTTTAATATTTGTTCGTTTTTGACCCTGGCTTCTGCAAGAAGTATTTAAGAGACTAGTCAATCCCCAGGGTTCCGCGAACAGTGTGCGGGGAGACGAACCTCAGAAATATTCAGAGCATTTTAAAGCTCTGAAAAGTCTCCTAACGACGGAGAGACCCTTGAACCACAGGACCTCTCTCACCCAACAGTCCTGCCCCACAAAGTGGATTAGAAGCACACTGCGCATTCCTTTAATGGGTGTACTATTTTCAATGGCAGACGGCAAGCAGTATAACTTAAAACTCTGCTCTCCAAATGGAACAACCTCAGAAAACATATTCCTCAGGCGCTACAGTAAGTAGCAGAATGAATAATTTATGTAGGGTGTGGAAGTGGCTGATAGTTCTTCTCAGAGATGTGGCTGAGGTTGAATGAGTGATATTGGCAGACCCATTTCAGTGGGTATTCTCTTTGCACCAGGGATGTCCAGACATTCCTGTACCCATTGTGGCTAGGATGGGTCGAGCCACCGGCTTCGTGTTTTTTTAACTTATTTGAAAATAAACCATGACGTTCTGAACCCTTCGCCCCTGCCCCGCAAGCCGTGTTGACTGGAACGGAGTGGAAGAGGATACTTTTGGACAGCCAGTGGGGGCATAGCTGAGGGTGAGAGCGCTACAGGAAGTGGGTCATTGGGCCTGGGGACACCTTAAGGTCGTATGGCCCATCCCTACTTCCTGTCCACTCTCTCCTTCCTGACTGCAGGCGTAATGAGGTCAGCTGCCTCATGCCTCCCTGCCAGCATGCCTTCCCTGCGATGATAGGCCACATTCCTTTCTAAGCTGGGAGCCACAGTAAATCCTTCCTCCCTCTTTGTCAGATGTTTGATCACAGAAACAAGAAAAGTTAAAAAAAAAAAAAAAAAGAGGCTGGCAAGGTGTCTTAGTGAGACAAAGGCGCTTGATGTATAAGCCTGCCCAACTGAGTTCAATCAAGTGAGGAGAGCGTGGACTCTGGGCTCACCCGTGGTTCAAACACAGGTCACAACCCTCTCCAGCTGTGCCTGTTTGCGAGACAGTTCCTTCCTCTCTCTGAGTCTCTGTTTCTTCCTCAGTAAAGTGAGGACTCTTGGACATGATTCAAATGAGTATGAATAAGATCCTAGCGTGGCATCCGAGACACAGTCAGTTACCCAAGCCTATTACCAATGTGCACACACACACATGTACACACATACTCCTCACCGACTCCACATATTTATAATATATATATATATATATACATATATATATATGTATGTATATAGTATATGATTCCCTTTGTTAAAAACATTGTCTTCTAAGGCTTTAGCAACAAGATCCCCTACAACACATTTTAAAGGCTTGAGAGTCACCAGGAAGTCTTACTCAAAACATAGATTCCTGCTGTGCATCCTTCCCAGGTTTGGGTAATGTACCTTTGTCTGGACTGAATGACTTCAGCCCCCTGCTGGAGCTTGGCAACAACTCCCGCTTTGTCCATTTAGAACATGGTGTGCTGAGGGATTTACCACATTCACTACTATACAGGAATTTTTTTTTTTTTCTGAATAGAAACATTCCATCCAGGAGGAAAGCTTGATAAGATTCAGATGTTCTAAATGGGGGACTTATTAAGACACAGGAAGTAGAGCATTCACAAATCTCAGGAAGTCCCTGAAACTGACCAGCTGTACCTCCCCTTCTTAAAGTTATATAAGCAGTAAGGACTACTGAAAAGAGATTCTCTGACCTGTCAAGCTGCCTAAAAATTATGCAGAGAACTCCAGGGTTCCCGTATCTGTAAGTTGTCACTCTCCTAGGCTGGGAAGTTGGTGATACAACTTTGGTTGGTGATACAAAGTTAACTTTGAGTTATCTAGTTTCCTGTGAGTAACACCTTACCCATAATCCTGTAATTAACCCAAATAATCCCTGATTCACCAAATTGGATTTAGGCAGCATTATATCTTTGATCTCTCATCAGTTATTTGTTTCTGGTGAGTAGACATTTATTCATGTCTCCCAAGAAATAGTTCACACAATATCCTTAAGCAAAAAACCCATCTTCATTGTTGAATAAAACCAGTTAACAAATGTTAGCCTTCCACACTAAAGGCCACTGTCTTAGTTACTGCTCTATTGCTGTGAAGAGATGCCAGGACTAAGGCAACCCTTACAAAAGAAAGCATTTAACTGGAGGCTTGCTTTCAGTTTTAGAGGGTTAGTGCATAATTGTCATGGCAGGAAATAGTCATGGAACAGTAGCTGAGAGTTTCACATTCTGAGATTTGCAAGCAGCACGTGGAGAGGGGGGAGCAATTGGGCCTGGTGTGGGCTTTTAAAACTTCAAAGTCCACTCCCAGTGACACACCTCCTCCAACGAGGCCAGACCTTGTAATCCTTCCTAAACAGTTCTACTGTTTGGTTACTAAATATGCAAATAAATGAGCCAGTGGGAGCCATTCTCATTCAGACCACCAGAACTGCTTCAACAGGGACAGTTCTTTGTTATCTTCAGAGACCTCTGATCCCACTTCCTCACAGTTATTTGAAATTGGAGTTTATTTTTCATGAATCAGTATTGTCTTTAAGTTTTTGAGACCAGCTCCGGAGCACACAGACTACCACTAAAAGCGATTCCTTTGCATCCTCTCTGGCTCGGGTGGAGTTTTACATCCTGCCTCTACACAAGCCTAGCATGGAGAGCTGAATCTCTATCAGACTAGCTCTTTCCTTCATGATTTGTGCTTGACTAGAAGGGTAGAGGTCAGAAATATTTAATTTTGGCTCCCTGGTTACATTTGTTTTATAGATGGACATATGTTGAAGCCAGGGCTTGAGAAACAAAAACTAACTAGTCCAGAAATGTAAGAACTTCAAATATTTGGTTATGGATTGTTCTGAGCTTAGTCTTCACATTAGCTGCTCCTTTGGTTTTGGAATGATATGGTTATGAAAAATGAGGGAGGGGAAAGGGGACACAGGGGCAAGCCTAGAAAAATCAGCAAAAACTCACCCTTTTAGGGATAGTGCAATAGTAAAACAGAGTCAAAAAGATCTTCCTGAGATCCTGCCATGGGTCAGGTGCTAAAACAGGCCGGGGACACAGGATATATCAGCTCAGGTCTTGAAAGAGGGGAACCATTGTAAGTATTTCACCTTAAAGGAATTTAATACATGGGAAAGGCATGTAACTTGGGAAGGGTTTAATACAGAACGTGGAAACATTGAAATGCTGAACAAGAAATGATGACACAGTTCAGAGCAGCAGCATCAGGGT